TCCTAAAAGAAACAAATTCCTTCTTTCTCGAAACGGAAGAAGGATTGAACATTTTGATCGCTTTATCATGCACGACCTGTACAGTAGAGCGATCCTGTAGCAGCCTCAGAAGGCTGATTTAGTTATTGTGCTGTCGAGGGCTTGTGAAGTTTTATACATTGATGTCAGAACCGATCTTATTACGACTTCCAAAATGTAACGCTTCATGCTCTCGACTGTACCAGGCGTTCATATTTTTTATCCCTCATAATATTGTCCCATTGCCGCCCTCTTAGTCATATGCTGGCGACGCCCTTGATACAGTGTGTGCCATTAGCAACAGCAAACAAGCAAATGAATCTAACTCCTCTTTTGCTTTCAATTCAAATCTACTCGGGAATGAATAAGCCTCACCGTTCTTTCGTACTGTCTGTAGATATACTGAGATCGTTTACCCTCAGGAGATCACTGAAATATTCAATATTTTTTATTATAAGGACACTTGAATACAATGAGGATACATTAAGTGATAATAACCAGTCAACTTGGTTGTTATTACAATGTTCCTCAAGATGCAGTATTCCTGTTCTTCCAAGCAAGCTCCTAGGCTTTGGCAAACAAACATTGAACACCTGGATGGCGAGAAGATCTATGGACGTCTGGCAGAATCTTCCAGGATTGGCTTACTCCAAGGCGTTTATTCACTCTTCGAAGATTGATACCAAACAGTTGTTAATCTGTAGTGGGAATAACTACGATGTCTAACAGGTCTTTTTACAGGTCACTGTCATTTGAATCATCATGCGCAGCGAATTGTTACGTTCGAAGGCAGTGTGTGTCACCTCTGTTTGGAAAATGATGAAACAGCAGAGCACATACTTTGTGCCTACCCCGCTGGGGAACGAATCAGGTTTTTAGAGTTCGGCAGAGACGTACTCTTACCATTTGACCTGATACACCACTCACCATACAAACTAATCGGCTTCGTTAAGTAGCTGGGTTTATTTGGTCGAGTGTGAATAGGTGTGAGCCACAATAAACCCTTGCGGGTTGCGGTAGAGGATCGAATAGACCTACTCACTTTGGACCTAACCTTAGCTCCTAGTATAGTTTTCTTCCACAAGAGGAAAAGGATACTGCACAGCTATTCCAATTCCAGTGCCACGAAAATAACAAATTACATGTTTATCATTTGTTGAGTATAAAAACCAACATATATTCTCTAATTATCATCCTACTGAGAGAGGAATGACAGCAAATCATTATAAACCAGGAACTAGTGAAAGGGGACAAAGGGAAAATGTGCCCCCCTTCCCCCAAGTAATTGATAGAAATCAGAATTTTTGTATCAGTTCATCTCTTATCGGATACAGCCCTAAAACTTTTTTCCCAAATTCAATTGTTGTAGTTATTTTTCTCGAATGAGGTAAATACTCTCCACACTTTGGCTAGGAGATTCTGACACTCCGATTATCCCTGACTAATACGGTAATCACTCTCAGGTCTCAAATTAAATTGCTTAATAAATTCCCCGCAACCGACACCCAGAAAATGCAGACAGGAGCCAAACGATCATCCTTCCCAGTTTGTTTTAAAAGAGTTTAGAGTTGCGACGCTAAGCTATGCGACGTCTATTCCGCCTCATATGCCATCTATTTGTATTCTGCCGATAGCGTTTATGATATTTTTGTATAAGCTCTGCAAGTTACGATACGCTTCCAGGTTGGATAGCATCGTTTTAGCATTTTTATAATATGGAACGTTTTAAATATGGTCCTGGATTGCCGTTATAGGTGTACATGTTTTGGAGCAAATATCAGGTTTATCTGAGCCATTATATGCCAAGAAGATGTGATGTATTCAATGGCAGTGGGAAAATCTGGTGTTGAATAATGTATTGAATATAGTTGCAATGTACATTGGCGATTTAAACTCATCAAATTGATAACATATTGCTGAGAAAGTAAAATTTTACTCCTTTCATATACTATTCTAGTTGAATCCCGCGGCTTCGCCCGCGTAGAATTTCGTTTGTCACTTCATGTTCCATAACAGACCATTTTAAACAAATAGTTGCAATATTTTTTCAACAATCCAAAATTTTAAGTTTTCAACTTCAAAACTGAAGAAATTCAATACAAACTCAAACACCTACTCTTCCGCCTTGGGGGTGGAAATTCCTAATTCTTTTTCTTGATGCTTATTCACGCTATACAAAGAACCTACCTGCATTTTTCAAAATTCTAGGTTCAGTAGCTCTCGCTGTACGTTAATATAAAAGTGTTAGTCAATCAATAGATACCCACTTACAATATTGAATAGTATCAGCAAAAACAAAACTGAAAGAATTGAAATGAAATACTCTGATTACGGGATTGGTTTTTGTCTTTGTTGTTTCTGTTCTTGTGTTGTTTCATTCATGTGTGTTTCCACGAGTAGCAACGGGAGAGTTGGGCACCTCTGGCGGAGCCCCGTATTACCAGAGGTAGGCTGATTACAATGAGGTTCCGCCCAGTTCCCCAAGGGGATCTTTCGTGACCACATATCACCTTGCGGCCATTCAGCTGTCATCACGATTCCTTACACCTTAGCTTGGGTAAGCTGGTCCACGGTGGCATTTTTTGCAAAGGCTGTTTGGAGGTTTTAGTTCCCCTCACCCCACTTATTTCTACCACTGACCAGGAGTCCGACGACTTCATTTCCGACAGGGCCTCCAGTCCCCTGGCCGTTCCCCTCTCCGCCACCTGGGAACTTGCCCGATAGGTAGCCGTACCCACGAGATGTAAGTTGGTATATAGATAGATCATGACCTAGAATAACACATAGGGTATGTTCCCACGTTAACGGGAATAAAACAAGGGAAATACAGCTAGTATTGTAAAAGTAGGAATATTTTGATTGACTGACACTCTTATATCAACGTACAGCCGAAACTATCGAACCTATAATCTTGAAATATGCAGGTAGGTACTTTGTATCGCGTAAACAAGCATCAAGGGAATCAGAAACTTCCACCCCCCAAGGGGAAAAATAGGGGGACAAAGATTGTATTGATTCGTGAATTTCGATGATAAAGAAATATTGTAACTCTTTGTTTGAAACGGTTTGAAGTATAAGTTTTTATACTGAAGTTTCATCTGAATCTGTCCAGTCGTTTAGGTGTGAAAGAGCCACAAACTTACATAAATACATCTATCCATCCTTACAATCTTTCACATTTATAATATTAGTATAGATTGTGTAGCGACAATGTGAATGATATTTCATTCAATTCAATAACGAATGTTATTGAACGAGTACAAACTGAATAGAAAAACGTGTTTTTTGTATATTTCAATGTTTATAAGAAAATAGTTTCGAGAGGCTTTTTTCTTCTAGTATGTGTCTGAAAGTTACTTCTTCGCATTAAGTAGCTCTTGGAGTGAGTTGCTTCCTCCCTTTCATTGAAAGATTCAAATTTTTTGTATAAGGATGGAAAAAATCATCTCTCCCCAAAATATTCCCCTTTCAATTCATTACAATTCAGCTTACTTGAAAACTCACTTCAATGACATGAACAAAAGCAGTAGGTGCAAGAAAATGGAAGTGAGGGCTATAACAATTACTTGATAAATGAGAAATAAACATGGGGGAAGGAACAAGGAATGTGAAATCCCAGTAGTCTAAGATGGAATCCAGAAGAAGCATGCTAATGTCAGCTCTGTACGAAAGCAACTGATCAGCTTTGATAACCACATATTCAATGAGTCTAGTGGTATATAATGCATTTCATTCTCGGATTTTACTAGGAAAATACCTTCGATTATATAGACATATATGGAGCGGTTGAGAAGTTACGAGTAAGTCAAAAATAGCGTCAAATCCTTGATTTATTTATTCAGCTGTATTCACTTTCAATGAAAACTGATTCGAACTGTTCGTTGTATTTAAAGATGTAACACTTCGGTAGGACTCCTGTGCCAGTCCGTGAATTGACAGATTTTCTAGGTTCTCCCGATGTAGGACGTAATCATGTATCTCGCAGGGAAGTCTTTGGATGGAAGAGCGGCTAGGCGTTCCTTATTCAACCCTGGTAGGCCCTATATACCATTTGAGCCCGGCGAATTAGTTCTCCTGAGGGCTAACCCCTCCTCATCGGTGTTGAAACAGGAAACTAAGGAGTTCCTAATACTCTTTGAAGACCCTTATAGGGTAAAAAGGAGGGTTAGCTATGCAACTTACATCTCATTCTGCCCGGACTCAGAAGGTGGAACTTGGTAATTTCCATGCTAGCCATATAAAGCGGTATATTCAACCCTAATATGGAGTTTCCATCCAAATCCTCTTAGATTGGATTCTTGTGGGCAGATGAAGCGGTACGATGAAATGATGGTTGCCTACTTCCAGGCCTAATTATTACGGCTGTTCAATCGGTTCCAGCGCGAGCGTCTGTTTGATTCCTTCCGTGATGATAGGTGTGACCTCGTGATTTTTAGAAACATGCAAAATTCTGTACCAATTTCGACTAGGTTTTTCGTCTGGCACAGGTTAGGGTGCATCACCCCTTCTGAATTGTACACAAATTTGAAATAATTTATTTAATTCACGCTGAACAATTAAACTGAATCTACTGAAATTCAGCTTAGTTTAGTTTATAGTATTTTCAAAAAGATGTGCTTGTAATGGCTGATACCAAGCTTCACAATCAAAATCATAATCCCAGACAAACAGTACCTACCTACTGTTATATATTTTTATACAACTTCTTCTTCTTCTTCTTCTCTTTTTTATGGTCTTTGCGCGAAAGACAGTGTGATAGAAGTGTGATAGAAGAATCATTACAACTGCAAAAAATGTTTGGTAATATACATTATGTATGATTAACGGAAAAACAGATTTCAAAAACAGATTTTAGATTTATTATCAGGGAAAGGGATAATACTTGCCAAAACTGTCAAAGTATTATATAAAAATTATAAATCCGTTGCACACATTCTCAGGTCGACAAATCGATAACTCATAAGATAATAAAATCTCCTTAGTCGTTAGTACAGTTTCTTTAATTGAATAATTTAAACAAACTTAATTCAATAGCATACAAAAAAATCTAGATGCTTTATATACAAATCCAACTATATTACATGTTCCAGGAGGGAAACAATAATCCTATCAAAATCATCAAGAATCCATTGATCGTATTTGTTTCAGCGTTTGCAACCAGAAATATTTATAGGTTACTCCAAATTTCATTAATGAGAGTTCGATTCTGAAGAAACGAAAATGATGTGCTCTTAAAATTATTCACATATTTTGAGATAGATTGAAAATATTCAATTCATACATTTTTATTTTACCAAACTACATGCCAACATCATCATCGATGGTAGAAAAAGTAACTGGGAGGAAAAGAATTGACAGATATTCACTTCAAAACAAAATTAAAATTACTATTTCATTCTTGTTAGGAAAATGTATGTGCAATACTTCATTTCGAAAATTAAGTTTTTTGAGTAGGCAGTAACTCGAAAAAGTAAATTTCAAGAAAATGCACTCTTTCACTTTGTCCGAAGTGAATATTTCCCAAAATAAATTCCCCACTTAATGTTTTGTATGACTATATGAATCACCGTAGTTTAGCTCATGTGGAATCTTTAATTTTTTTACATCAATGAAAATGAGAAAAGTGAACACATGTAGGGGATATAAACCCTTACTTCATCATACACACCTCATACTGCTTTCGGAATATAAGGTTGTAAGTTATTCTGAGAATATTAAAAATTTCGATACCAGTGAGGATCGCTTTGAAATACATTTTTGTTGGGTCGTACTATAGATATTTACATTTTTTTTGTAATTTCCAGTACACGCCAACTAGGCTATTTCGCACGTTGAAAAATAAGACCTCGTTAATCTTGAGCTCGCACACGTTTCTCCTTCTGAGAGTTGTCGCTTGTTGGAAGGCGACAGCTGATTGACGAAAAAATAAATTTCAACAGATTTTTAATAACTACTCTTTGATGTGTAAATGCAATAACCTAGACATAAAAGTTATAGAACATCCAAAAATATGTAAAATTAGTTGGTGGTATAAACTTCTGAACCATTCTCATTCAGATATTGTTTTCTACAATCTTCTCAGAATCGGGCTTCGAGTTACAGTTGAAGAAACCAAAACTAACCCAGACGAAATTAAAACCAGCACAACCCTCACATAAACTTACGTAACTATCACCTTAAAATTATTGTTCACAAGGTCCCTATCCGTATTTAATTTCTCTGCATTGATAAAATCTTCCATAGAATTAACCGTAATATTTTTCTCAAATTCTAGAAGCGAGGGTGTTAAAGAGGACTGATTGCTACTTATGGTCGATTTGAGAGCAACTTCTTCAGCTTTCGGAGCTTCATCATTATTCTGCTTGTCCTTCATACTAAACTGCTCAAGAATCCTCATCAAACTTGAATGCTCAACTTGACCATCTGCCTCTGTGGGTAAGTTAGCAGCTACGATTTTCGGTCCTGGATTTGGAGAAGGGGGTGGAGTTGGACTGTGACATGGTTCACTCTTGTTGCAAAGCAGCTCAGTAGATCTTTTGAGGGCAGTTTGGGCATTCTCTCTGTTGATCTTCTTCACCAGAGACTCAGACCTCCTCACCGGAGGCTTGGGCTTCTCGATATCCTCTTCAGCCACAATGAGACTCTCTATGTCGGATATTATTTCCTTGCTGTTCCTCTGCGTTTTTCTGGGACGAGGCAGGCTTGCGTCCTTGGGGTTGTAGTGCTCCAACAGACCCAGATCCCAGTCTTCTAACCCTCCGAAGGAATCGTCGCTCTCTATTTCTGCGGGGGCTTTTCGTGAGCGGAGTTTCTTGAGCTGCTGAGGGAAGATGGAACCGAAGCTGCGGCATCTTGTGATGTACGCGTCGAGTTTTCCTGTGGATCCACTTGTTGGTTTTTTCGAGTCGGTTGGAAGGCAGGTTTCAGAAGTGTTTCGTTTATTCGAGTTGATTTTCAGGGAAGAAGGTCCTGAAACAGATAAGTAGGTGAGAGAGCTATTCTCGAAAATAATAAATAGTATTAGTGATCCCTTCAATTTGTTCTATTGAACTGGACATTCTGCAATTGTTTATTAGGAACCAGAGATCAACAACGAATCAGTCGTAATTCATTGATTCGGTGTACAATAAGTATCATAAGTGGTACTAAACTAAAACGAGAATACATGTTTGGACTCATTTTAGAAAGTTCAGAAACGATAAGTTCAATCTTTGACTTGATCCCATGCTGTCCCAGTTTGAAAGTTGGAATAATTTCCATTTTTGATAAAAAGTTTGAGACTTGCTTCCATTTCAAATATAAATATCAATTTGCTTTATCTTCTTCTTTGAGCGTTATCGTTATTCGTCTAGGAGATTTCGTTCCCAAAAGAGTTTTTTCAATTATTTTCCATAGGCTCAATTCTGAAAAATATTCTGAACCATTTCATGAGAAAAATTTTCAAGTGATTAACAACTTGACAGATAAAGTGTGAACGAAGAAATATACTGTTTTTAAGTGATCTGGTTCAACTGATACCAAAAGAAAAAGTATATTCAAGAGTAATACAATAAACGTATATTTTTTTCGGAGTCAACCATTAGTAGGTATTAATGAAATGTTGAAGAACATCGCATGATCTTGAAAAATCTCAAAAAGCAGAATATTTTGATACCTAAATGAACTATTTGATATTGGAACAGTTGAAAATTTAAGGAACAAGGCAACTTTTCTTTTCAGAGGGACATACTTTTACTTAAAAACCAATTCTTTGTTAGCCACCCCCCCATAACATCCCTCAAATAGAAAGAATAATAGAGTAATGCTCTATTCGAAAGGTATTCCAATTCTGTGTCCCAACTTGTACAATTTTTAACATGGAAATCATAAATGATGCCAAAAAATAAATATTCCTTTTTGTTTGTTTTTAATTTCGAACTAGAAGTGAAACCAGTCGAAAAACTCCATTGTATCAAATGTTGGAATTGTATACCATCAACTTGCATACAATGATATAAACGAGCTACTATTTTCTTCTTACATTCTGAAAATTTCAGGTAATTTTTTTCTCGTCAACTAGCTACTGTAATTGGCTACGTCTCGTAGATGTTTCTGATAAAAAACAGTCCGGTGGAGTCAAATCCCCCAATCTAATGAATACTCTTTTCAGAAAGTTCATTCCAGAGGTTTTGATTCTACCTGTCAAGTATTTTTTTTTCATCTATGTCAAAACATACCAGCCAGGGGTGTAGTTGTTTTCTCATATCCGAGACTGGCTTGAATTTTCAAAGTTCATTTCTTCAGATTTGTTTACTGCCTGTCTTCAAGCATAGCCCACTGACTAATGAGAAAGTTTTTCTTCCTTATTCAGAGGAATCGAGCAAATTTCGAATGTGCAGTTCGTTGGTCCTCGTCCACTAGATGGAGTGACATTTTTGTTGTTCTCTCTAACTCAGGACGAGGAATGAAATATTCTGAAAGAATTTTGATTTTCAATTATGTAATATCATTGACTTCAGGTCGATGATGGCCACTATCTTGCACTGACGAGTGGCTAAGTAGCCCGAAACAGGTCTGCTAGTGTGCCCGTTCCAAAATTGAGAGTCGATTCTTTCAGTTGCATAGCCAATTGCATATGCAGGAAATTTTCTGTGAAGATTCCTCCACTGACGCCTGTCGGATATAATCCAACGCCGTTCGTGGTATTAGCCAGGGGAGTAGTTGTTTTCTGATAGGCGTCAGTCCATTCAACCTACTGTTTAGGTATATCCGAGACTAGCTTGAACATTAAAAGTTCATTTCTTTATATTTGTTTACTGCTTGTCTTCGAGCAATAGCCCACTGACTAATAAAAAACATGATAAAGTTATTGTGGTACATTTTTCAATATTGAAAAATGACCTGAAAGACCTGTCTTTCGGAAAAATTATCCGCCAACCCAAAACTATTGAATTTATTGAGGGGAACATAATGATCCACTTCATCAAATGCCTTTTGAATGTTTGTCAATACAACATCTAACTGTGACTTTAATTCCAATAATATGTCATATTCACGATTAGTAATAAGAAATCAATCAGTAACTATAGACTTGCCAAGTAAACAACCATTTTGTTGGGAAATAACATATTTCTCAACATGTTGAATCAATTCAGCGTGAATTAACTGTTGAACCTCTGAAACCTCTGAACCTCTGAAACCAAACTTTTACGTAGATTCGAAATAGATGAACACTTTAATCTAGTAGACCACTGTTATAATCTTCATGCAGTCATTGTTTACTGTGGTTTTGGCTTTGAATCTGGTCAATATTACACTTTGGTCAAAGACGAAACGGACTGGTTTAAGTTTCACGATAGTCGTGTCACTAAGTGTTCTGGCGATGTCTTGAATTCATTTTGTTTTATGAAAGAGAGGATATTGGCAGATCAAGATCTACAGATGATGTGGTGCTGCAGGTTTTTCAGAATTTTTCTGCAGCTGAGAAAGCAAATGCGCCACTGGATTCTATCAAGTCGCCCCGGAGCGTCAATTAATTTTTCTAGTTGTTTAATTATTTCATAATTCGTTATACTTTCTTTTTTATATATCAAAAATTTCAAAAACTGTTCCAATAAGTACATATTTTTTGAGGCTCTCCAATTCAGATTTGGACAACATGGATAAAGAATATTTCAGAGAAAAAGATTTTTTGAAAACAGGATTTTACCTTTATCGATATCTTCAAAGTGCGTCACTGTCAACTTCAATTCATCATAGTTCGGTAGAGACATCACGGATAAGTTCTTATTCATCCTCTTCAGGCTTTCTTTCTCAGTTTTCGAGTTCCTTCTCTCCTTCTGATTACCATTCTTGTTCGTTTTTGCATTGTCGTGATTATTGTGATTATGGTTATGGTGGTGGTCTCTATTATGACCACTTTCGTCTTGGTCGCACAGAGGGCACTTATAATTTATCGTTTTCTTCACACAAATCGTCTCTTCCACCGGTTTTTTCTGCTGAAAAGCCTGCAATCCCGATTTAGCCACTGCTTCGATCTTCTCGCGGAAATTTTTTTTGTGTTTCCTTGGTGGAGGCGTGGGAGTGCCATTCTCGTTGTTGAAAATTATGGAAAGTTTGGGATTGCGCAGGTGGATGTGTTCTTCTTTATCGGGCACCTCTAGATCTGCATCTGTCCAGTCCGAAGATCGTGAAAGGGGTTTGGTTTTGATAACGGTTTCTTGCTTGGAGGTCGGTTCTACGGAGCTAATGTCATATCTGAAAAAAATCAGTCATTCTCAGTTTCATATTTGATATCTGATTGAGGAGATATTTTTCAACGTTTTCTTCCAAGATCTACTATCTACTTTTTGTTCTGCGACAACTAGATTTAACAAAAAGTACCAGTGCAGAAAAAACTAACAGTGTCGTCCATTTCAAAACGTTTACTACAAATTGCCAATTTCTGACTCCGGACATCTTCAATGATGTAAGGAACGCTTTCTAAAGTAGACTGTATTATTGTATGAAACTAGATGGAAGTCACTTCGGACACTTTATCTGTTGATTATGTTGCCATTGATATTACTTTTGTTGATTTCCTAATTATAATGAACGACAGCGAATTATCTGTTTTTTCTCAAATAAAACGTTCAACATTTAATTTATCAGTACAGAATGAACCAATTTCGGAAAAAATCACAATAGTAATAGAGGGACGAAAACTGAAAAAGTTACAATATTGAAATTAACCTGAAGTTTTGTACTACCAAAAAGACACTTAGACAGTAATTCATTTTGTTTACCCCATGGTTGTAAGGGGTGGAAAACGCAACCCCAAAATGAGACTTTTTGTCTTATCATTTGGTTACCATTTAAAAATTTATTTCCGATAGCCTGTTTCATTCTAAATAAAAAATTTCTCCTGGGTTTTTTGCCTAAAATAAACCAGTTCGCAGCACACATCACTGACTCAATAACGGTATGTTTGTGTCTCTTTTTTACACAGAGTTTTTGCTTTAGCTGAAAGTGAGATAAGGGCACACAGTTGCTTCTTGGCGTCAGTTACAATTAAATGGTGAAAACTTTTATCAGAATTAGTTATTCCTGATTTTAAACTGTTTGTCAAGTAGTGTCAGTTGCAATGACAGCAATACAATTCATAATGGTGTACACTTTACAAGAAAGAACTGAAATTATCTGCCAGAAAACAACTGCTTCCTTGGCTAATACCACGCTGGACATTGAATTATACTCGATAGACATTTTTGCAAGATACATCACATCAGAATGCCTCATGCTGAAATCAATCGAGTAGACCACCTTCAGACCAGTTTCGAGGTATTCCCAAATAGCAGTGTGCTTGGGACTCGACTGACTTCGAAGTGGCTTCAAGTATAAAACGGAGATTTCGTACATAATGAATGAGAAACATCCGAGGTATCTTGCATAAATATCTATTGGATGCAATTCAATGTCCATCGTGGTATCAGACAGGAAAGTAGTTGTTTTCTGCAGGTATTTACCAGAAGCTAATGCGTAGATACATAGGGAGAGATGAAATACGTATCTATTTCTTCTCGATACAATCTTCAGACTTATCTTGATCTCATAGGAACTTTTTTAAACAACCTAACGAATCAGTCTCTGATGTTTCGAACCATAGTTTGAAAATCCCCTGTACATTACATCAATAGTCAAAAACGAATATAGCAGATTTCACCACGAACATTTTACCGAAAAATAGTTCACATCTATTCTTCGTAAAAACTAACAAAGTCTCATGCATTGCTGAGTGAATGCCATTCAGTTAGGGAGTGGTTCAGAAAGTGAAAGATGAACAAAGTAAGATTTATATTACCAAATACATATTTCCCCAATCAACTTCAGATTTCAGGAACTACAAGGACGTTACGCTGCCATCAGCACCCTCACAACCCCTTGGACGCCATGTGGAGGACCCAGGGGGATACCAAGAAGGAAGCTCCCGTTCCCCCAGCCAGACTCCTGGGAGCAGTGGAAGACCTGATGGAGCAAATCCAGGACTTCCTTGAGGAGTACCCCCTGGCGATCAGATAAAGGACAGCGCACGGCCTGGAACACCCTAAAGCCTAAAGTCTCAGGCATACTTCCCTCGGCCCAACAAAAACTCGAACCCTCAAGAACCACCACAGACATGGACCCGGATACTCCAACCAATAACGCTACTACAAACTCTGTTAATTTTAATTTAAATTATTTGTGAAGGAACCCAACCCTTCATATCATTATACCTATGTAATGCGCCCCGTATTTCGAAGTTTCCGTAGTAACAGCTGATAGGCTCAGTGTTATTCATTCTCTCGGAACGGGTACATACACCGTAGAATCAAGCCATCGTTGGGATGCCATTCAGTTAGGGAATAACAGAACGACAAGTCATTCTGTCATTCCTGTATCCAGCGGGGCTACGTAGAAGCAGGATCCGATGGCCAATTTGCTCAAACCCCACATCCCTAGCCAATGCACTCGCCAAAAACAGCAGGCAGAGTGGTTCAGAAAGTGAAAGATGAAAAAGGTAAGATTTATATTACCAAATAAATATTTTCTCAATCAACTTCAGATTTCAGGAACTACAAGGACGTTACGCTGCCATCAGCACCTTCACAACCCCTTGGACGCCATGTGGAGGATCCAGGGGGATACCAAGGAAGAAGCTCCCGTTCCCCCCAGCCAGACTCCTGGTAGCAGTGGAAGACCCGACGAAGCAAATCCAGGACATCCTTGAGGAGTACCCCCTGGCGATCAGATGAAGGACAGCGCACGGCCTGGAACACCCTAAAGCCCAAAGTCTCAGGCATACTTCCCCCGGCCCAACAAAAACCCGAACCCTCAAGAACGAACACAGACATGGACCCGTATACTACAACCATTAACGCTATAACAAACTCTGTTAATTTCAATTCAAATTATTTGTGGAGGAACCCAACCCTTCATATCATTATACCTTTGTAACTTATACTGTCAATCCATAATGAATAAACATCGAAATCGAATCGGACACCTGGAGTAACATTTTTGTCAATTCATTAGCGAGTCTTTTTGTTTGGTAACGTATAGTCACTCCCAAAGAGACTACGTCAAAAATGTAGTTAAACTATCAATATTCACCTATTCACTTGCTTCTGGTCGAGCTGCGAATCCGACTTCCAGGCACTAGGTCGAATCTGTAACAAAGAGATTATTTATCAACCATGCACGTTCGGACAGAATTAATTAATTAATTATTGTTTATTCTTCGCGTATAAGTGATATCTTCGGATAATACATAACGGTGGTCTGATGTGAGTCTACAAATTATCTTCGCTTGATGAAATGAAGGCACTGTATGTTAATTTACTGCCGTATGTTATACCAAGATCTTTTATCTCATGTACGCGGTTGATTGTAGTATTGTTGATTAAATAATCGTACATTAAAGTTCGCTGTTTTGTTGTAAATGATATCATTTTACATTTGGATATGTTCAGATGTAGACGATTATCATTACACCAAAGTTTGATTACATCTAATTCATGTTGTACACGTTGTCAGTCAGTAATGTCGTCGATTTTATAATATAGTTTTAGGTCGTCTGCAAATAGTAGGCTAGGAGTATTCCAAGTTGCCAAGTCATTAATGAAAATTAAGAATAAAAGAGGTCCAAGATTAGAACCTTGTGGTACACCAGATGTAACTACGTACTGAGCCGATTTCAAAGATTCATATTCAACAATATAGTTGCCTTAGAGAGAAACAACGATTATAGCGATCATACAACTCTACGATACAATATCTTTCCAGCGAGGTCTGAGAACAGGAAAAAGTCGCTGGGGTACAGATCTGGAGAATACGGTGAATAATTGAATATTATGACAAAATATGAGTTTTTTCAACATGATGGAACTCCGCCACATCGCAGAACCAGTTGCAGAGATTTTCTCAATACGACTATGCCAAGACGATGGATAGAAACCAATGATCCTATTGAATGGCCACCACGTTTACTTGACCTGACCCTTCTGGACTTTTCATTGTGTAGCTTCATCAAAGACAATGTATTCAATTCAACTTTCGATAATACTTACGAACTGAAAGGAACAATGAGGAAGGCTGAAAAATTGCCATGAAAATGCAAGAGCGAATATGTTTTTGAGGAAGGATGTACAGCAATATGAACATTTAATGAGATATCGTGAACGACGTGGATGGTTAGGAGTATTTTACACTGATTATTTTTCTGTTTGTTACTTGGTATGGTATGGTTCTGGACCCAAAAATTATTAGTCCCTACTTTTTTAAAATAGCCCTGACAGGGAATTGTATGACCATATGATGAATGATGAAAAAGTCGGGAAATACGTGTATTGAAATGGATAGCTGAATTTGTTTTTATAGTGGCTACAGGAATCGATGAAAAAAACTGGAGGTCCGCATTTAAAAAAATTAAATAGATTATGAAATCTAATGAACGAAATGTCTCATTGCGTATTGCTATCCAGCGGAAATTGAGACGGTAGAGCCAAAAAACAAAATGCNAGCTCTCTTTGTTAGATTGACTAAAGAGGAAATTGACAGCCTTTTATCTAAGAAGGGATTATTCTAGTTCCCAAAAACACGAAACATTTGTCCAATTCAACCGACCTTGTAGAACTTACCATTTCCGAGATAGCAACGGTGCGATCAGCTTAAAAAACGGTCTGTATAGAGCATATAATATATGCTGTACTACTTCAAAAACACAGTGAAATTACACTTCAAATTAGCCCATTAGTTCAATTGGACACCGTTAATGATATTGCTTAAGCATTGCTTGTAAAAGATACAAAGGAAATGATAAAACATTTTCCTCCAAAATAAAAAGTGAAATTACGTAAAATTCCATCGTCACCAGCATCAATTACACCTAATTTCACCGGAAACGTCGAAAACACCATAACGAATCGTCTCGACTATACAATGGCAGGTTTTGTTAGTATGTTCGCTAGTAACGATGCGTGGAGCATACCTTGTCAAGGTAAACCAACAGCCGTGCAATTAAAATACCCTACGAAATTTGCCATGTTTCTATGGACTTAATGACATTGACCATATTCATATGTATATCAGTCTCTTTGTGAATTAATGAGCACAACTGAAAAACAAGTTTCTTAATGAATTATGTCAGTCAATGGAAGAGGTAAATAAGCAAACATTACGTCATCATCATGTTTTTGTTAAGAAGTAAACAATGGAACATTTCATATATTAGTTTCCCTTTCCACGAATTAGTGGCCACATCAAGTAAGAATATTTCAGTCCATATTACTCAATCAAAGTCATTTGAAGTGAGCCATACTAAGTAAGACTGAGAAGAGTGTCACGAAAACAAATTATTTTTCAAATTTTCCTCGTAAATCGAAAAAACTTGTTTTGGAATTTCTATTCCTCAGTTCGAACTTATTATACGTCAACCTGTTGAGCATCATGAGCTCATGGATATATAAATACGTAGCTGTCAACATTGTTAAGTCAAATGAAACTTCAGTTTCCTCTGGTATCCCACAGGACTTCACTTGGGACCTATTTTATCAATATACATCAGTCCTCAAATTCTCACAAATAGCCTTATATGCAAACGATCTCGAAGTCTACATACCAATTGAAAGAGTCTGATACTTTGTTGGCATTGGAGGTCACATCAATAATTTTCTCGATTATTTTACGCTGTCTGTTAAAAGAATAAGGTGAATTTTCATTTTTATCAAAAAATATATATTTGTTCATCAATTCCTATTGTTTTTCTCTCATAAGCCTTTCAAGTCATGAGAACAGGAAAATATACAGGGGGCAAATCTGGTGAATAAGGTGGCTGAGGCATTATTACGGTCTTGGTTTTGACCAAAAACAACGGACAAGCAATAACGTGTGAGCAGATACATTATCGTTATGCAAAAGCCATGAATTGATCACAAAACCTGATTTTTCCTTCGTATTGCTTCTCGCAAGCGGCGCATAACTTCAAGATAATACTCCTTATTTACCATGAGACCTTGTAGCAAAAAATCCTGATGCACTACGCCATGGCATTAAAAAAAACGGTGAGGAAAAACTCCACATCTGATCGGACCTGGCGATTGTTTTGGTCTTGGCTCTCTTGAGCATTTGTTTTCGATGTCATAAACATAACCCCTTGATGCTGACAAAAACCAACATACTATTTTTTCAAGAAGCAATAGACCTTCAATTCACAGATTACTTCAAAGCAATAAAACAGTCACCCATTTGATGGGATCCACGATCTCGAAACCATTCTGAACTATGAATTGAATTATAAGAAAATGAATACTTCTTATTTGAAATTTCAAAACATTGTTCCCTCTCAACGTACCTTCACTTCAGGTTCTGGTAAATACCTGCCAGAAAACAACTGCTTTCCCGGCTAATACCACGCTGGACATTGAATTATACTCGATAGACATTTTTGCAAGATACATCACATCAGAATGCTTCACGCTGAAGTCAATCGGGTAGACCACCTTCAGACCAGTTTTGAGGTATTCCCTCTCATCAGTGTAGGTGAGAAAAATCTAAACAAAATAGCAGTGTGCTTGGGACTCGACTGACTTCGGAGTGGCTACAAGTATAAAACGGAGATTTCGTACATAATGAATGAGAAACATCCGAGGTATCTTCAATAAATATCTATTGGATGCAATTCAATGTCCATCGTGGTATCAGACAGGAAAGTAGTTGTTTTCTGCAGGTATTTACCAGAAGCAAGTGCGTAGATACATAGGGAGAGATGGAATACGTATCTATTTCTTCTCGATACAGTCTTCAGAATTATCTTGATCTCATAGGAACTTTTTAAACAACCTAACGAATCACTCTCTGACGTTTCGAACCATAGTTTGAAAATCCCCTGTATATTACATCAACAGCCAATAACGAATATAGCAGATATCACCAAGAACATTTTACCGAAAAATAGTTCACATCTATTCTTCGTAAAAACTAACAAAGTCTCATGCATTGCTGAGTTCGTTTTATTTTCCTTTCGTTAAACTGTTTTTTGGTGAATTATATTTCTGTGGATTGTTACTCAGTGAACTGTTTTGAGTGAATTCACCGTCTCCCAAAGACCAACCCACCGCATAATAACAACCGAGAGACGAATCATACGAAACATACATGACCTCCCATTCCGATACCTCTCCCAAGATTTATATAACCGAATAAATTTCACCCCAATCAACTTAAGATTTCAGGAACTACAAGGACGATACGCTGCCATGAGCACCCTCACAACCCCTTAGACGCCATGTGGAGGACTCAGAAGGATACCTAGGAAGAAGCTCCCGTTCCCCCCAGCCAGACTCCTGAGAGCAGTGGAAGACCCGACGGAGCAAATCCAGGCCAAGCTTGAGGAGTATCAACTGGCGATCAGATAGAGGCCAGCGCACGGCCAGGAACACCCTAAAGTCTCAGACATACTTCCCCCGGCCCAACAAAAACCGGACCCTCAAGAACGACCTGGACACTCCAACCAATAGGTTAGGTTAGGTTTAAAGTGACCCTCCACCGCAAACCGCAAGGGTTTATCATGGCTCACACCTATTCACACTCGACCAAATGAACCCAGCTTCTTAACGAAGCCGATTAGTTTGTATGGTGGGTAGTCTTTCAGGACAAATGGTAAGAGTACGGCTCAAAACCTGATTCGGTCCCCAGCGAGGCAAGCACAAAGTATATTCTCTGATGTTTCATCGTTGATGGGGTAGTTGGATAGTCAAGATGCAAAATTCACACCTTGATACCCGCGACAACCTTCCCATATGAGGCTTTTTGCATGTTAGCTACACCTGACAATGCCTTAGATTCAACCGTGCAGGGCTGTTTCGCCTCTGGTTTTGGTGATTCATCACTTGAGCGCAAACGTTTGCTAACCTGCTCATGAGGGGTTTGTTCCTCCACCTGAGACAGATTCTGCGTACGCCGAATTTGGTGCAAGGCGGTTTTATAAGGTACCCTGCTCTTGAGGAGACAACTCAGTCATTTCCTGGCTGCACCACCAAACCTTTCTTTATGGTTCATTTATTGAAGCAGGGGTTGAAGAGTTGAGAAGCTCTCGCTCCTGATCTAAATTTACAGGGAGGCAGTTGGAGTCGTAAGCTCGACATCTATCTCCTCTGTAGACTCAGCATCA